TTCATCCTTTGAAGATTTTCTTTTACAAATGGGACAGTTTTTGTTTTTAGTTTGTTCCCAGAATTTCTGCAGGCAGCTTGAACAGAAGCTGTGGCAGCAGCTCAGAGACACAGGATCTCTGAAAGTCTCTGAACACACATGGCAACTCAAGTAACCTAAAAGCAATTTCTCAGCCATCCCTGATAATTTACAGATTACTTAAAGGAAAAGACTCACCGAAATACAGTCACTCTGAATTTTGAACTAAATTGTATTCGTCCGTACAGATCCCAACCTTTACTGTAAGGCGTTCCCGGGTGATCGTCGAAGTGAATCTTTAGGTTTCATTTACTCTGTTATGGGTGGAGCTGATATCAATCACCCTGACATTTCACTATGTCACCACTAGATGGTGCAGTTTCTCACGGTGTTAAAGAAATTCTGCATCAGACATGCTGATAGCCTCTCTGTGTCAGTGAAGTTGTGCAGAAATACTGATCATTCACGCTGCTGTTTTAAAGGCAGGTTGCACATTGGGCAGGTCAACAATCTGTGCCAGGGTTAACAAATAGAGATAGTCAGTTAACCTAACTTGCATGTGTTTGAACTTCCTTCCAATCCACTCCGTTCAGTCCGACCTCGCCTCGTATCTGCTCCTCCTGGAATCAGAAAGACAAAGAAGAAAAACAATATGTAGCCTTGATCATCTAATATTATCCCTCAGCTGATTTTAAGGCCCAGTTCAGGGCATCTTGTTTGGACTTCCTGACCTAGAAAGACTTATTCTAACCATTATCAGTGTATGTGTAAGCATGCAGCAAAAAAGGAACCTCAAGCGATCTACATCCACGTCAATATTTCAGCACAGGCATAGCGCCGGACGAAGCTTATGGCCCTCAAAACACAGAGAGCCAACTCATTCATGAGCACATTTGCATTGTGTATAAATAGAATAATTAAAACAGCTTTATCAAATAATTTAAATAAATAATCAAGGATTTACAACCCTAACAGGTGACAGGACTCACCACTGCATCACTCTTCACTAGGATTAATGTGAAAATGTTCTAAACAACATGCAGTCGTAGGTAAACTGGTAAAGTGTGAGGTGGCATGATTTCTTTTTTTCCCAAACCAGCATTTTATCCAAACAAAGGTGAAAGATGCACCAGTTATCAGTTTAATATCTTATTCTCTGTTCTGAGAATATATCAAACAACCAAGCCTGAAACTGATCAGATAATTTTTAGAGACTTCATTCCGCCTAAATGCTTTTTCTCAGTTTATAGTGTGTTTGGTTTCCCTGTTCATTAGAAATCATTAATAAGAAAAGAACATTTGTTACATTATAGCTCTTAGTATGTACTTTGTGTCATCCGCTTCATTAAGGTGGCAGTTACTTTTTTCAGGGTGAGCAGCTTTGTTGTATCGCACTCATGTTTCATTCCATAAAAATTTTTATGGACTGATGAAATGAGAGTGAGTCTTGATGGGCCAGATGGATGGGCCCGTGGCTGGATTGGTAAAGGGCAGAGAGCTCCAGTCCGACTCA